GTGAGCGCCGGGCCGGGCGGGAGCCCCGGGCGGGGGCGCCGGGCCGGGAGGGGCCCGTGGGGCTCGGTGGCGGCCGGAGGAACTCGCCTTTAGCCTTCGGCTGAGTGGCGGGGTCGCAGTGTCGAGTCCCCACCTCTCTCCCGCTCGGGGAGTGAGGGGATTCGCCTGTGTTTGTCTTTCGGTGCTCAGAAGAGACTCTGCCATGGATTTGCGGTGGAGGTGGACGATGAGGGGCTCGTCAGGCCTTAGCTGAGTGCACTGACACAGTTCCCAGGTCCACAGAGCCTTCTCAGTTTCACACACGGACTGGTGTGGGGACGCTGCTGTTCCGCATGTAACAAAGTCTGTTTTGACACTTGTTATTAGCTTCCAATTATTTACCATCCATTTGCAGAAAGAGCAGTACTACTCTGAGCAACACTCTTCCCTGATCAACAAGGCCTACCAGACCCTGCTGAACCCTCTGAGCCGGGGCCTCTATCTAGTAAGGTCTCCCTTAGGTATTACAGTGTTCCTATAACTGACCCTGGGGGCTGCTCTTAGGGATGGCACCTTCCATTCAGTCCTTAATGTGCTAATTTGCATTCCACTGAAGAGGATCACCAGAGATTGAAGGGAGACCAAAGTTTGTCCAAAAAGCATCATCTCATTTGCTATTCATCTTACACTAATTTGTCTTTCACATCACACGTGGTGTTTGGCCATGGCTGCTTATTTAGAATTTCAGTGTGGCCCATGGCAGCCTTTTTTATGGCTTTGGGTTATGGTTTTTTTTGGCTTTGGGTAACTGTTGATTTTTATGGTCAGCCTATGTATGGAGTTAATTTTCAGACTGACTCTATGCACTGTAGGTTTATCTGATATGAATCTGAGTATGCCCCACTAAGAGATTTAATATTAAAGAAAATAATTCCCATTGAAATAGATGTGGGAATATTTATTTTCAAATTCCCATTTCCTCTGCCAGCTGGAGCTGAGTGGAGTGGAGCCAGCACAAGAGACAGACTGTGATGCAGACTCAGCGTTCCTTATGGAAATCATGGAAATTAATGAGAAATTAGAAGAGCCCAAAAATGAGGATAACCTTGAAGAAATTGAAACTTTAATTAAAGGTACATTATGATTTGAGGAATTTGTACAGAGCTAATATACTGAATCTTGTGTAATACAAGAGTCTGAAAGCTTTTAACTGTTTTGGTATATTTCTTGTAATGTCTTCAATTTGTGTTAGTCTGGAATTGACTCACTGCAAGAGCTTCTTCTGCCCTTTTCCAGTGTTGTCTTTACCCATTTATGTACCTAAACATCACATCTGTCTTGAGAACATTTGTATAACAGAACCTATTCTGATGTCAAAATAAACATATATAGGCAATAAAAAGCAATTTACTCAACCTTCATCAGGTGAGGGCTAGTCAATTGTTCCAAAGAAAAAACCTGTCAGAATGAAGTTGAATAAAATGCTTGTCTGACCATGCTAAATTATGTTATTTATATAGGCATTGTAGTTCTTTCACCTTCTTTATCTGGCAGCCATTATATTAAGAGTTTTTTCTCCTTACACAAGCAGCTTTCTTTTTATATTGTTGGTGATGCCAAAAACATTTGGTTTACTGATATATTTAATTCTTCACAATAAAAGCCATGTGCTAAAAGCATTTAGAATAAGTGGAATAAAAACTGAGTAGCACAGGAGAAAATTAACTGCAGCAGGGTAAACTGATATACCAAAAATAATTTAGATTGCTGGGAAATTAGTGACCATTGATGTGCATTGGAAGTTCGGTCAGTATACCTGTTTAAACAAAGAAATATATGTTTGAAATTGTAATTAAATCAACATTGACAGCAGTATTATGAAAAATTTGCTCGTCTCTCAAAGGCTGAAACTAGTAATGAACTTTGCCACCACAGATAGTCATAATGCAGTGGTATAAAATATCCTAAGTATAACAAAAAGCAATTGAAATAATTTGTTTTGCAGTTAAACAAGAAGAACTGACCAGAGAGGTAACTGCAGCTTTTGAAAGAGGTACATGTTTTTATGAAGTTTTTAGCTGCCATATATACCTGTTAAATGCTTAAAGCTCCACACTTACTGGCAAATATTTCCTGAGCTATGGAACAGAAATACTGCATTAACAAGGGTTCTTTGTTAGGTATTTAGAATAAGTACTTCTAAACTGACATTCCTGCTGATTTGGGAAATTCAGGACCTCACATTAAAAGCGAAGTGCAGTACAAAAGTTCCATTCATCTTGCATTTAAATAATCATTTTCAGTGGGAATGTTGATGCTAAGAAATTGTGTGTTTCCCAGAACACTGGGAAGGACAGACTTCATCTTAGACATATTTTGAGGTTTCACACTTGAATTTGGGAGATGTTGTTCTGCAGTCCTGGACTGCAGCAGAGCAGTGAGTGCTGTTCTTTGCAGTAAAGCCACAGAAGCTGTGTGGCAAGTAAAGGCCTGTTCAGCATAAGGTTTTGGGGACTTCCTGTGCAATAATCAGCATAACTTTATTGTACAAGCAATGGATAGGCATAAACTTGAACAATTCCTGAGCTTCTGAAGCTGGGAATAAACCTTTGTGGTTCTGTGCCAGGTCCAGAATGCTGCAGGTTTGTCAGGGGTGGGTGTGTGTAACTGTAAACATCAAAGTGCTGGTTGAGCCTGGCTGTGAAGTTACATCCTGTTGCTCTGTGCCATGAGAAAGACTGTGTTGCATTGGTCTGCAGGTCATAAACCACCCTCCCCTTTAACTGAGGAGAAATTGTTTCAATATCAGTTTTGGAATTGACACTATCCAGTGTCAAGACCACTCTTCCTCATTTGCATTTTTCAGTTATTTCAGTTGCTCTATTTATACACATTTTAAACGAACAAAAACATTTGTATTGCCTAGTGGGTAGATCAGTGCTGCAGCCACTTTATAGAAGTCATTAAAGGATATTCATCCATATTTCTTTTCCAAATTGTTCATTGTTATGTGTTTTATGAACATTTGAGTTGAGATGTTCCCAAAGCATCTGAGATTAAAACAGGCACCATGGTTTTAATAGTGTCTGAGTCCTTGCAGCTCACAACTCTTGGTACTAAAACAGGTGCTGTCACTGAAATCTTAATTTTGAAAATGCAAATTCACCTCTCCCTATGTAATGTTTTACTTCATTTCAGATGATCTTCAAGAAGCCAAGAAGCTGCTAGCAAAATTGAAGTATTTTGCAAACTTAGAGGATAAACTAAAGGCCAAGAAGATCCCTTCCTGATGTTGCCTCCTTTGCTATTCAGAGTCTGTTATTTTCAATTAAACAAATGGTTTTGTTATCAAAATCAGACTAAATGGTGTTTCTTTCCTATACTTACATAAAATGGAATTAAAATTTCTTATACTTCCTTATTTCTGAGAGGAGGGGAATAAAATGTAAAAGAAATCCCATGCTTGCTGCAGCACTTCAGTAACAGATGGCATTTGGAAATGCTTACAGCCAGGAAAAGTTATACTGGGTAAGGTGGGCCACTGTCCTGGCAGTGACAGCTATGGAAGCAAATGTCAGAGACACACACAAACACTAGATGTGAGATCTCTTACGTCCTAACATGTGAAGAACTTATTCAAGTTGAGAAAGAGTTCAGGAAAAAATACTCAAGAGGGGGCAGAAGGCTCATTCAGCATGTCCTACAGGTTTCCTGTAGTTTAAAGGTAAAAAGTATTTCATTCTTGTCATCTGTCCTCTCTGCTACTTCATGCTTCTTGGTATGTAGATCTCAGTCTGATGGGAACTAGAAGTTTTACCCTGTTGCATAGTTTAAAAAGTTAAGATGCTAGATTAGGGAAAAAAAATAAACCAAATTGAAACCCCAGGAATTCTTCTATCAGGATACAAGTCTTTATTACAAATACCAGTAACTCAGAGAGGTGCTGTATTTGCATTGTACAGTACAGTAATAGAACTGGATGAGGGATGTCTTTAAGGCTTTCCAGATTACATAATTGGAAAAACAGAAACTAAATACCCCCCTTCCTGCATAAACTGGGATATTTCAAATATCAGTTCTCAGTTCTCGTGTAGGTTTTAACAAGAACTCAGAATGTTACACTCAGCAAAGCATTTGTATGCACCAAATGATCCAAACTGAAGACAGAGCTTTGGAGTCTGAATTATCTGCAGAAATCTGCCAGAAAGGCTCACTGAACATCCTCCCTGGCATTTCAGCATCTGTACAGCACCAGGTTACAGCTAAACATCAAGTTCTCTGTGGATAACACAGTATATTGTTAACAGTATTTCAGCAATACTAACTTGCCTTTAGTTACACTTCCTCTAAATACACAGGAAGATTTAATAAGCCACTTGATCATGTATTACACTCCTAATTTAGATGACTATGTTCATAATTCTCACTGAAGTTCTGTTGCATTTGTGAAACTATGCAGAAATCTTTAAAAATTCATCTTGAAGTTGTCTTCTTTCATAAAGCTCCGTTTCCTTTTTCCTGGCATTTCTTCCATAATTGAGTTTGTGAAATTCCTTTTTGATCTCCAGAAAAGATTTGTTTTTTGTCTCAGGAATTATGAGAAAGATGAAAGCAGCAACAAAGAAGCACTCCAGTAAGAACACCACAAAACAATACTGCTTCAGTCCATTCTGAAAATAAATGGGATTGCAACATATTTCAAGTGCAATAGTAGATTTGAGAAAATAAGCTTTTTGTTTCCATTCAAACTTAACATTGCTGCTCAGATGTTTTTTAAAAGGAGTCATTCAACCTATTCTTTACCTGTAACTTTGTAGAATTTTGGTTTTTAGACAAGAGACTGCTGTCAAGTGCTGTGCAATTATTAGGTAGATACTTATTTTAAAAATAAGATAAACCATTTAAACAGTCAAATGTCACAATCTAGGGAGAAGTCAACATTTGCTACTTAGCTGTCACATATTTTAAGATTATATAATTGAAGTTTTTCTGAATGTTATTTTTCAATGCTGTACATTAAAAAAAAACCAATTGTCTTACTGAGAAGCAGAGCTCAACCATGAAGAAAGGACAGACAGATCCAGACATCCTGATGCATGCTGTTCCTGCAGGTTTTGCTGCCAAGAATATGTACTAAAACTAAAACTACAAAGCAGGAGATGAAAGCCTGTCTTGTCTTTCCTAATAATCTGCTTACAGAACTCTCAGTTCAGCAAGTTCTCAGAGATGTGACCCACTGGTCACAGGTACCACCTCAATGTTACTTTGCCATAAAGGCACAAGGCACTATTGAAAAATGTTCTATCTAAATATCAGTATCTGATTAAGTTTTTCTGCTTTTGATACTTTCTTTTTTTTTCATCTGAACATTGCCCTCCTGTGCATACCTTTTACTTTCCATTTATCATGTCATATTGGGGTTTGTGATGTGTTAAAAATACTTTCAAGAGGGACTGAATCTAGTTAAACTTATTTGAGAGGCAGTATGCATCCTGGTCAAGTGTCACTAATATATACAAGTGTATATAATACAGTACAAGCAATGGGATGGAACCTGGGAGCAGATGAAATGGAAATTGTGCTATGAATACTCACCACTATGAAGGGAAAGAGCATCCCAACTGTGAAGAAACTAATCCAACTCACAGTCCCTGCAATCATGTAGGCAGCAGGACGTGAGGACTGTACAAATAACTCAGCTGTCAGGGTGTTTGTTATGCCACCTGGGGATGATTCAGAAACAGAACAGAGAATTGTGCTAAATGTCCATTTGAGGTATTTCCAATGCTACAAAATATTGACTTGCTTTTGAATATACAATTACCTGATCTATTATAATTCCTAACAGCACAATTCTGAGGCTACTGCCCTTGCAGGAAGTTTCCTACTGCAACAGAGCCCCATTTCAGCAGCACTGATCAGGGAACAGGCCCCTTCTGACAAGTGTAGAACCCCTGTGCTCTGAAGGGCAGAACTAAGCCCTCCCTCACACGTAGCTGCCCCAGAATCGTGCATGGTAAGCCGAGATGTGGGCTACAGGATGGCCTCACTTGGGTTCCTTAGCCACCTTGTGCCTTAGCACCACCACAGCCTGCAAAGCCTTCTTGCCTGTGTGATACCCTGGCCCCCCCAGACCTTCCACCACTCACACACATTTCTGTGCAATACCTGGGCCCAGCCCAAAGCTCAAGATGAAGGCAAATACACACGTCATGCTCATGTAAGGCACCCAGGAGTACAGCTCCTGAAGCAGAAGAGAGTGAGAAAGTTTAGTTCAGACTTTGATAATACAGTTTTAAAGTCTGACTTAACAGTTACAGTTCCTTTTGTATTTTATTTCAACTAAGACCAGCAGTCTTTCATGACACTTCTACAGTTAATTTATTTAACAGTTCTGCTTCAGAGAAATTAAATAGTGTTCATTCAATAATTTTTACTGAATTGTATCATAGAATTACATAATCGTAGTGTGGGATGGGCTGGAAGGGACTTTAAAGCTCATCCCATTCCACCCCTGGCCATGGGCAGGGACACTTTCTACTATCCCAAGTTGCTCCAAGCTCCATCCAACCTGGCCTTGGACACTTCCAGGGATGGGGCAGCCACAGCTCTCTGGTCAGCCTGTGCCAGGGCCACCCTACCCTCACAGGGAAGAATTTCTTCCTGATACTTAATCTAACCCTACTCTCAGTTTAAACCCATTCCCCCCTTTCACTCAGTCACATCCTGTATTTGGAGCAAGTCCTTTGCACCTGATAAGTCAGAGAGAAGGTCAGAACAGTGCACCAGAGCGTCATGAGGAGATAACCCCCAATGATAAGGTATCTTCTTCCCACATAGTCTATCAGCAAACCCTGTGGACAAAATACAATCGTCTGTTAATGTAATGATCTCATTTTTACCAATATTCTTCAAGAAGAATCATTACACTGTATTGGGAGCCTTACACAGGAGAGGGCTGTGACACACTCACAAACTCCAGTGCCCAGTGTCACATACGGGATTTTTTCTGTCAAGATCCCAGCTTGTTCAAAAACGTAAGTTGCGTAGAAATAAATCTACAACAGAAAAAAAAAACACAACAAACAAACAAAAATAAACAATGAGGTTTTTCTGGGATTTAAAACACTGTCTGGAAACAAAGTCAAGCTCATACTAAACATACAGATTAGTGTATTTTATATTGTGACTTACCAATTTAACATAAGGAGCAATAACAATCTGTTAAATTAATGTCTAAGTAAACATATTGCTATCATAAAAGCCAATAGGATCATTCAACTTACTGAATATTCTTTATATTCTTAAACCATACACACTGGGATAAGCTGATCCTCTGATTTTCAGAGGAATTATTTTCAGAGGAAGAATGAAGTCATGCTTTAAAAAAGTTTTCATACCAGAAACGCAGAAATGAGAAAACAATTAAAGAGAAACACCAAAATAATGCAAGGACATTCTTTCCCACTTATCCCATTTCTCTGAGCTTCTCTATGTGGATCCTTTGTGTTAATAAATGGTTGAAAAACAGGTAGAAATGAAATAATTATTTAAGCTGTTTGTTCACATAAAGTCTTACAGCATTAATGCCACTGAGCTGTTGGCCCATTGTCATCACAATGACAGTGATGAGCTGCCACCTCACACCACGGTCAGTGAATAATTGCCAGGGCTTCTTGGGTTTCTCCCCATCTAAGGCAAAGCATTCCCGCTGGATATCTTCCATCTCTCTTCGATACTCTGAGGAGCCATGAAATCGTTTCAAAGCTACAAATAGAAAAAAATAATTTACATTTACCTATGAACCACAACTCCTAGCAAATCATCTCTTTCCATAATGACTGGCTTTTGCTGGGATATGAAAAATTTGCTCTGTGACTTGTTTGTTCCTTGCTGTTTTTTCAACATTTTTTGCTGTGACAGATTTGGAGAATTCTGTGGCACTTCTTTGCTTCTTTTTATAGGATTACCTGACCTTGAAATACTCACCAAAATATTTTGTATGTGAATGTCAGACCGTCAAACAGTCTTTTCCTTAAAGGACATTCTTACCAGTTTGAAGTGTTTTGCTTAAATTCTAGGCAGATATTGAGTTCTTTGTTATGGCTTTGACTTTAATGTTGCCAGTGGGATGCAGTTAGTGAGCTGAAGCAAAGACAGACAATCCTTCTCCTAAGGCAAATATAATCAGAAGTCACTTGGATCCCTGACTAAAATCTTTACAAACAGTCTTAAAGAGTACACAGCATCAGTTTCTTTAAAATCTTCATGATTAAATGTATCTCAAGTGACAATTTGTCTTCTTAAGGTGAACAGGAGTAATTCTGATGATCCTGATAATCACTTTCCACTAAGAGTAATCAGCTTGAAGCTCCAGTCAATGCACTTATATTTGAAACAAGGTAATGAAGTTTTGTTCATAACCCATTATAAGCTCCTCAGCTCCACAATCCCTTCTTCCATATAAGCTCACTGGATGAAAAACATGGGCCAAAAAGCACTAGATGATACAACTGTGCTGTATGGAAAAAGATGAAAGGACAATCTGGAACCCAATATATTCATTGTACCCTTCTGGAGAACAGAAAGTATAGACACTGGATATTACCTTTGGCACAGCTCAGCTCATCACCTCTGTCAATAAGAAGATATCTGGGACTTTCAGGAAACCATGGAAGGAATAAAAGTTGGGCTAATGCTGGAATACAGCTGCTGGATAGCAACAGAGGCCAATGCTTTTCTCCACCTAATAATTCTCTGTGAGAAGTGCGGAAAAAGAAGGCAAAGAAATACAATAATTAGCTATTGGTTACTATTTAGTGCAGTCTATGCTCTTGGAACTTCTAAGTTCCAGCTGGATGAAGGCCTGAGCAATTTCCTCTGATCATACAGGGAACAAAAGCAGTGGTAGTGCTGTGAAACAGAAATGTGAGTCCTTTGCTCTCGAGTCCTGTCTTGCCAACACCCACTGTCTCCAACAAGAAATTGGCAGAAAACATGAACTCAGCTCAAATGTGGCTGCTTTACTGATGCTGCTCTGGTGACACATCTAAACTGACACTACTTCCCTGAAGAGACAGTGCTGATGGCTAGCAGTAGGAATGACTCAAGCAGGATCTTCTTCTCCCAGGGGGACCTTGTGTGAATTCTAATGCTACAATGGCACCAAGGAATGTTCTGCAAGCAGTTTTAGGAAATTGGAATTCTTTACATAGGAGTAACACTAAACAGGAGAGAAAACAACAACAAAAAAGCATTTCTTACCTCAAACCAATTATTTGACCTGTCAGAATTCCCCCAGTCAGAAAGATGGAAGTCCCCATGGCCAAGCCACCTCTTAAGTGTTTTGGGGCAAACTCCCCAATATAAAGAGGCTGCACACAGAGCCCAATACCTGCAATTAAGTGGAAAAGACATTTTCCTATCAATAGAAGTTGCTTTGCAAAGAGTTACTAAACCAAAACACATACAAAATGTGACTTAATCAACTGCCTATTCATTTAGCTGCCTTCAGATTCCAAGCTAAACTATAGAACATTTTCATCATAAACATGTATCATAAAACTTAAAGGATCAGAAGTAACAATAATTGATCATTTGCCAGAGTTTATTGATAGTAGGAATAAGAAATCATTCACCTGAATTTATGCCAATCAAAAACCTTCCAGCAATCAGTAACTCAAACAATCCTGTAGGGAAACTGATTCCCATTAAAATGGAGGCTAGAATTGCTATAACATTATTCATCAAAAGAGCTCCTTTCCTAAAGAGGAGGAACAAAATAATAATAGTAATAATAATACTACTACTACTAATAATACAGAACAAACAAAAAACTGACTAAAACAAACAAAAAACCCCAAAACTGAAAAGAACCCACCCCAACCAAACATTAAGGAAACCTGTAACAATGTGGGTTTTTAAACAGTTTTCCTTTCTGATAATGTAGAGGGGGGAATGGACTTTATACTGAAGAAACATGCTATTCCCTGGAAACCCAGATATCTGATGCAACTGCTTATATTTTTAAAAATGTCTAAACATATAAGAATCATGCATAAATATGACAGAAATGCCTGATAAAGTAGGGGTGAAGTTTCTTCATTTAGGCAAATGAAGTACAACAGATGAAGCAGCATCTCCTTATTGGCACAAGGCCTGCAAATGTGTCGGGGGGAACTCATGCTTCCAACACGCTCTGTGTGCATTCTCCTACTCAGATTTCAGTAAATGTAATGCAAACACTAAGTCAAAGGTCATAATTCAGGGCTCATCCTTGAAAGTCACATTGGAATAAACGGTAACATTTTACTAGAAAACTCAGATTTAAAGTGAAAAAAACATGTATAGGTACCCAAGGTACTCTTTTCTCCCACTCTTTCTCCCTTTATTTACTTTCTATTCCAGTGGGAAGGTAGGAAAAAAGCAAACATGCTTTCATATGCCTGCTGCTGCAACTGACCTGCCCAGCCGTATCGCCATGCTGCCTCCAATCAGGGCTCCACACAGGCCTCCAAGGGAAAAGATAGAAGCAATGACAGACCAAAGAAAAGTCAGCAAATCTGGATTTAGTTCCTTGTGATAACGACTACTCCAGGTTTCGTTTAAGAACTTGTGTATATGCTGCAGTAGAAAAGAGTGATGAATGTGTAGCATTTTATACAGCCCTACACATAGCACTACAAATAACTTGCACCTCAATCCTGAAAATCTGTTCTGGGAGTTAATTCTAAGAGATATCACCTGACTGGCAGAATCTTCCTTGACCACAAGGAAGACCTTGTGTTTGCTACTCCTCACACACCTCAAAAGCTGCTGAGCAGCTCTGCTTTGTGCCTGCCTCAGGTGCTGCAGCAAAGGAGAAACACAACCCTGACATGCACTGCCACGAGAGAGCTCTGAGGTCCTTCTGAACAAGGAGGGGAACAGGGTGAATGGTTTGCCCTACTATTTTTAGGAATATCTCAGAGCACCGAGGCCTTGCAACCTAAAAAATTTTACAGTCAGGGGACTTGTTCTGACACTTGATCTAAATCTCCCTGCCTTAGTGTAATCCAAAAAGTCATAGTAAAATCCCTTTTTCAACTTTAATAATACTCCACCTTTCTTACAGTATTCATGTGTCAGAACTTTTAAGCTGTTATTCCACATGTTTGGTTTTCTAATATTTGACTTTAGAAACTCTTGAACTGGCATGTATCTGTAATCAGAAGCTCCTGTTCTTCGCCTGCAAACAAAGACTACAGAAGGACAAATTTCTTGGACTCTCCCTCTGACATGTTCTTTCACAAACAGCTTCTTTTAAACTTTGTAAAAAGCATACAACATTGAAGCAAATTCAGTCTTCACAATTTCCCAAGAAAATAAATCAGCTGGTAGCAAAAACTGATACCCATCACTTTCACAAGACCATTTGCTCAGCTCTTTGAGTCATCCACAAAATATGCAGAATCCTGGGGGCCACAGCAAAGAACACTCAAGTAACAAGTGAAAACACATACAAGTTACTCAGTCACTACAGATGCAACAGTTTAATTCCCTAAAATATTTTTCAGTAATCTGCCTTGTGATGGATACCTGCAAATAGTAACTATCCCTTCTTCCCTGTTACCCAGTGATAGAAAGAATGGGAATGGCTCAAAGCTATCATGGGAGGTTTAAACTTGACCTTTGGAGAAACAGTTGTGATATCCTACAGAAAGGGTGGTCAAACAGAAGAACAGGCTTCCTAGACAAGTGGTCAATGCTCCCAAGGGCATTTTGACAATGCTGTTAGTAACATGCTTTAACTTTTGGTCAGCCCTGAAGTGATCAGGTAGTTGGACTAGATGGTCATTGTAGGTCCCTTCCAACTGAAAATGTTCTGGTCTATTCTACTGTTAGTGTTACCCTTAGTAACTGAAAAATATGTTACTTATTCAGTTAATCCTTCTAATAATAAAGGTATTTTTGGCCTATTTGGCACTTTTGTCTGACACAGAATATCTCTGCTGAGAGGTACTCACAAACAAATGCACATGAAACCATGTGGGAAATTAACAAGATTCCTTCATATGGGAGGAAGACTGCTTCAGTTCCCACCGCGATCACAGCAAGAACATGTTTGGCCTCTTGGCTGAGTTCAGAGAGGAGACAGTCCAATGAACAAAAGATGAGCTTTTACCTGTGTGGGTGCATTGATAATAGAGACATTATACCCATACTGAAAGGTCCCTCCAATTCCAACAGCACAAACAGCCAGGAACAACGTCCAGCTGGGGAGCTGGGGAACAAAAGAAAGTCATTGGCATGAAAAGAGATAGGACCTTGAGCCCACAAACATGTAATACCTAAAAGAAAATTATGGTGAAATACATCATTTATTTAGTTTGGAGCAGTAAAAGTATTTGTTTAAAAAAAACGCCTGAACTCCGGAACACTTGCAGCAGAAGCATTTCAGGCTGGCTGTGGCCCTGATCATTAACAGTCCTTAGAAATACCACAACTACAGGTCTCCAGATTAAGTGTAGGCAACAAAACCGTTACAGCTGTTATTAGAAACTGAGTAAATGCTTTTTGCATAAGCCACACTGCTCACAGTGTCTGTTTTTAATGAAAGAATGCTAGGACAGTTTATGCTTGGTGTTTAGAGAAACAACGACTTGCTATAAGAATTAACCAAAGCTCAATTTCTGTGAGTCACATTTTAACCAAGATGTGAGAAGTAACATTATTTTATTTTCATTTAAACAATATTTTAAGTCCCTAAAATGATTACTTGATGTCTGCAAGTTGGTAGCTGCAAAGCCTTAATAATTTGTTCACTGGCAATAATATTAAATTTAAAGTTTATTGGCATATTGGCATGTATTTTTTTAATTTTTCAATATCTCTGACCTAGTTATATTCTCAAATTAGTATTTACAAACTAAAATTCATAGAATCACAGATTCACAGGTTTTAAGGTCAACAAAACTAGGACTGTGATGCATTCAAATCTCAAGAATGTAACTGGTCATAAAAAATACTTTGGATGAGGCCCCATGGCCAGAGATCACCAGAGATTTGTACAGTGTTTGATATTCTCATGCAGTGCTCACTGAGTTTACTTTTTACTGAATATGATCATACTAAAAATAACAACCAGTTCAAATGCTAGCAAGCCTTTCATTTTAAATTAGGTCCTAATTTCATCTCATAGTATCTTACTGACTAACTTCTGCTCGACACAACAAGGTCTTCTATATTAAAGGCACCTCTGATCTGATTAGTGATCTAATTTCTCTATCCTTCATATATAAAGGCTGTACATATTTCTTTTAATAAACTGGTACTCCCTGAGTTTCTCATTGTAAGGTATGTAGACTAATTCTTCATCATTCTCATTCCTGGTCCAGTTTCCAGAAATGCTGATTTATTCCAGAGACTGTACTGTATTCTGAAAGAGCTGTGTCCTTCCTAAAGATAATTCATCAAAACTTCCTTCGTTCAGGACTGAAATTTGCAAGTTGAAATTGATCATATTAAAGTAAAATCCTATTAACATTTCCTTATGGTTTCCAAGAATAAAAAGTGTTTCTCTGAATTTCAACCAAAGCAATGAATCAAGAGTAATAAGGGTTGCAGTGAGTATGTCAGGAAAAAGTAAAACTTGATGTGGTAAATACTGGCACTGCACACTCAGACCCTTATATTAACAAAGTACTGTAAAGCTATTTTGTGTGTCTTATGGGTACAACCTGGAATCTAGAAGGGACAGAAGAGAAACAAACAACCCAAAATAATGAACATACATCATATAACTTAGGTTTTGTTATGACAGATCTTTTGTTCTTCCTGCTCAAATCATCTGGGCTCGTGACACTGGCATGCTATCTCACATTGGAGTTTGGAGAGAACATGGATAACAGCCTCGTGTTCTGTCAGCTACTGAACTCCTGACAGTTTATAAGGGCGTTCACCTCATCTCAAAAACATGACACAAACAAAATTCAATACATATTCCATGTAAAACACGAGACTCAGAAAGCTGCTTTTATAACTTCCACGTTTTAACACAGCCAGGTGTCCAAGGAAAACACAAAACTTTATGAGTCTAATCACTTAATATATTTCTATTTAAAAGTTAGCATGAAATACCCACACATTTCACAGCTGTACATCATTGCTAAAAGTACAAACTCCCTGCAGGATCCACCTTCGGAGGCCAGGATGGTTCTGCTTACCTTGCAGGGCGAGCTAGACCCTCTGAGCAGGGGCTGGTGCTCCATTCTGAGCATGGGCTGAATTAGATTTCCTTTGCAAAATTTAATAAACTACGTTACATGAAAAAAAAAAAATTGCCAAATAATTGAATTTACTAACGTGCTAATACATAGCTTTGCTTTTTATGTTGTTGTTTTGTTTGTTTTGAGGTTTTTTTTTTTCCCCGCCCATTGGGACTCTCCTCAACGGTTCAGAACTTTTTTGTGACAGAGATGTCCAACTTCGACAAAGCCTCACAGCAGCCTCAGGGAGCTTTTCCCACCTCTTACACTGTGTACATGCACTGTCCTTCTCTAACTCCGCGCAGAACCCGCAACTAAAGACAAAGACGGGGGGTTACCGTGTGCCTGGGCGCCATCCCTCCCTCCTGCCTCCCGGAGCTCAGCTCCGCTCCCCGAGCCCGCCTGAGCTTCTCAGCTGACCGGGATTTGGCTGCCGGACCGTGCCCGCCCCGCTGCGGGGATTAGGCAGGGCCACGGACACCAGAAGGGGCTGTCTCGCCTCTCCTCAGCGACTCCGCGCCGCCCTCACGGCCACGGTGGGGGCCCCGCGCTCAGACTGCGCCTCCCTCAGCACCCGGGACTACAACTCCCACAGGTCCCCAGTGCCCGGGACTACAACTCCCAACAGTGCCCGCGGGTCCTTATCCGATCGCGGCGAAAGGCCTGGAAGGAGCCGGGCTGTAAC